CACTCTTCTCTCCAAGAACACCACCAACTGGCAGGCTGCCAGGAACAGCCAAGCCCCGGGGACATGGTTCCCAGGAATCCAACCACACTGAAAGCAAACTCGCCAGATCTCATGACAGTACTGGCAACCTTGGTAAATAAGCCCCCAGATGCACAGCCGCAGCCAGGATCCAAGTGCTTTCTGAGGACACACAGTGCCAGCGGTGACAGATGCACATCTTCACAGCACACAGACTCACTAAAGATTGTTGCAGGCCTGTGGGTGTTCAATACCATGCCAGGGACAATGGTGGTGGTGGGGTCTCCACCCTCAGGAAGGATATGACTTGGTCTGACAAACGAAATAGACATCAGAGGAAAAACTGTGTACAGATGATTAAATGCCACCCAGTGTGGCGGTCCCTAACAGGCAACTGGATCTCAGAGGCATGGGCTGACACGGCCAGGAGGGTGGCCTTGGAAAGGTAAGGAGCATTCCGTGGAAATAAGGAAATGCATTCCAGGTGGAGGAAGAAGACGATCAGGGCCAAGGGTGCGGGAAATCCCTACTCAGTGTCTGGTGACTTTGCAACCTGCTCGCCTGAAGAGATTTTCTTAGGTGGGCTGTTAGAGGAAAAAGGTGACTTTCAAAGGCCATTCTGCTCATCTTTCTGTCTCTGGGTAGGAAAGAACTGTCCAGTCTCCAGGTCCCCAGGGAGCCTCCAAGTGCTTGTCCATTATCCATCCAGCCCTCCTTGGGAGGCAAGTCATCCTAGGTCCCAGAGGGTTATTTTTTGCTTTAGCTGATGTGGCTCATGCTCCCAGGTGTAAAGCCAGCCCTGCCACGCTGGCCACAGCTGACGGAACCAGAAGTCCATGCCCAAGCCACACCATTGGGTGGGGCTCAGCAGGGTAACATTGGAACAGCTCTGCACAAAAGGGCTGCACCATATTGAGTGGCAGTAAACCAACCTGCTCAGACTTTCCTTATGGGAAGGTAGGGAGGCTGGGCCACTTCAGCCTGATGTATCGCAGGGAAACTGATCCCTTATTCTGGTGCTCCATGAAGTTGGCTGACAACCCAGTCTGGGATTTTTGGGACTTAGAGAAACCGCTGGGCTGAGGAGTTGACACCCCACCCTCCATGTAGCCTGGCACTTGCCCTCTCTCCATGACTAAATGTTACTTCTTCCCCAGGGCTCCTTAAAGATGGCAAACCTGACCCCAAGACTTAGGGAGAGACATCTGGGGAAGGGTGAGGCCTGTAGGAATGGGGACCAGGGAAGGGGAGAGTGGCTTCTTCTATCCATAGCTGGCATCTTTTATCCCCATGAGCACTGCCCCAGACTGCTCCTGAACTGGCAGTGAGCTTTTGATCCAGACTGAGCCCTGGGCAGGTAGACAGAATCCCAAAAATCCTGGGCCCAGGGGCCAGCCCAGTGGCGCAGCAGTTAAGTGCGCGTGCTTAGCTTCTGCGGCCTGGGGTTCCAAGGTTCAGATCCCTGGCGCGCACTGATGCACCACTTGCCAAGCCATGCTGTGGTGGCATCCCATATAAAGTAGAGGAAGATGGGCATGGATGTTAGCCCAGGGCCAGTCTTCCTCAGCAAAAAAGAGGAGTATTGGCGACAGATGTTAGCTCAGGGCTAGTCTTCCTCAAAAAAAAAAAAAAAAAAATCCTGGGCCCAGCCTGAGAAAGGATATCAAGACCCTACCCATCGCCTGGCCAGACCCAAAGTAGAGCAGATCCTCCTGTTTCTTATCATCGTCACTGTGAGAAAGTGTCTTGATTGCAGAGCCAACGCAATTTCTCATACTTTGTAGCATTTGCTCTGCTCAGTATCCCAGATACCCTTTGGGAAATGCGGAAACACAACTCAGAGGTTATCTTCCGGGTCCAAGGTCAAAGCAGACTGAAGACCAGAAGGCAAGCCGCCACAGCTGACTGCTGGCCCCAGGCTCTTCTCATGATTACACTGCTCCTAAACGGAAGGAGATTGCTCTCTGCTCCTTTAAGGCAGCTTCCTGGCATCCCGCCTGCACCTCTGGCTGCAGCTGAGGATCATTAACATTAGGAGGCCTCCAGATACCTCTCCAGCAAGTGACAAGCACAGACAGGCAGGAGAGTCTCCAATCAAGGAAACCACCCCCCAAATCTTAGATGAGAAAGAAGGGCATTCAGAAGAAGCCGCACCAGCAGCCACCATGAATTGCCACACATGGTCCCAGAGTCCCTGTTTCTATATCCCGAGCCTGTAGCACGTCACAGAGCAGGGGGAGAGGCACGGTACCAGACTGGAACATATTCTCTTCTTGGGGTCTGTGAACCCTCTGAAATTCTTGCAACATTGTGCATGTTGGTGCATTTGTTTGGGAATAGTGTCTAGGGCTCTTTTGTGGCCACAAAAAGCTCAAGGACTCAAGGAGGTTAAGAACCACAGGGACTGAGTATCTCAAGTCCCCTCCAACCCAGGGCTCTGGACACACACAAATCCGGCAGCCAAACACACATTATCCAACACAGGAGACAGTGACATGCAAATGGGGGTGGCTGTTACTCTCCTGGCTGCTATTACTCTCAGTCTGTCCTTGTTCATTGACGCCCACCTCGCGGATCCTGGACAACCTCCCAGCAGGACTGAGCACCTGGGCTCTGCATACACCCGTCTCTGCCTGCTGCGTTGCTGAAAGAGAGGCTCTCCCTGTCTGACCCCTGGTGACGCCCTGGGTGTTTTCCTGTCTCTCAGTGACTGCTCATTCCCTTTCTGAACATCACCACCTCCAGACTAGAGAAGGAAACTAGAAAGGAAAACACAATTTGGGAGAAGGAGCCACTTCAGTGCACAGCACAGATCCAGCTCAACATTCCTCTGAACAGCCTCAGGGTCCTAGAACACCGCCTGTTTCTCATGGACATTTGGACACCCAGTGTTCTCCTCACACACGGCCCAGGGCCCACAACCATTTCCTGTAGGGGCCTTGATCTGTACGTTCCAAGCAACACAGGGCAGCTCTCTAGGCCCCTTGAGCAGGCCCATCCTTGGCTCTAGAGAGGCCCACAGACCTCACCCACCAGCCAGAGGTTAAGGGAGGCCGACACACTACCCCGGAGCTGGAGGGCAAGCTATTCTGCTGCTTTCAGAGAGAAGGGGAAAGTCTGATTAACCCCCTCCTGCCCCCAGCAGCACTCCCAGTCCTGCCACTAAGAAGGGCGTCAAGACACCAACAAGACTGACATTTCTCAGGAAATGCTCCCTGTCTGAGAGACCCTGTGGGAGCCATAGGGGCTTATCTACTCTCCAAAAATGAGGGAGAAACTCGGCTTCCTGAGATGTGGAATCACACTCAGCCCCAGAGGGACTAAGGAGCCCAAGGTGTCTGCCTCCTCCTGCAGGCCCCACCCAACTGGCCCTTAAGAATTCTGGCTTCACTTTGTTTTTTCACCCTCCAAGGAGGGCTTGTCTTGACCCCTACCTGTCAGCCCGCTCTACTCTTCTGCATCCCCCGAAGCACCCACCCTGGTGCTGGGGGAATAGCACATGATCAGTAAAACCTTCTTACTGTCTGGTGCAAAGGGGATATGATGGTCTGGAAAATCCATTATTCTGTTTGAAAGCAAAAGAGTTTCCACAGAGGCCATACACTGGTTTCCAATTTTTGAAAGACAAAGAAATATACACTGCTAAAGTTGGGTGGTGTGTAACGTCACCTTTCTTTGAAGATTCAAGTCAGAAAAGCCACTGGGGATCCAGTGGCATTTCAGGCATCATTCTGGATGTTGTTTGGAAAAGCAGAGGCAAGCAGAAGCCCCAGTCTTCCCAAGTTCTCAAGTCTATGCTTCCCTCTCCCTGGCCAGTGCACACCTTGGGAACACACGCTCCAGGGTAACAGCACACCAGATGTCAAGTGGGGAGGGGTTGCTACAGAATCCAGGAGGGATGTGCGTCTGATTAGATTTTGGAAGCTCCTCCCAGGAAGGCGCTCCCACAGCCTCTTTCATCAGTGATGGGAAAACTTTAGAAAGGCCACCTGAGATTCCCCCTCCCCCATCCGCAGCCGACTCCACCACTAATGGTGTCAATCTAACGAGAATATGGGGCCTGCCCTTGGCTACCCCCTAAAGCTGGGCCAAGACACCTTGTTTGGTAATGCAGAAGGGCAGCTTTGCACCCTCCTGCCTCTCCTATTCAACATAATGCATGGAACAGGCCACTCCCTCCCTCAAAAGACAGCGAGGAAGGAAAACAAGCCAAAGAGAGGTGGATGACAGCGTCAGCCCCAGGGCAGCCCCAAAGCAGCGGGGACCAGCCACATCTGCAAAGTCAATACCTAACCAGTGGGATAGGGACAGAACGGGCCGAAGGCAGAGTGCTGGCAGCCTCCTGAAGGTCCTGCCAGCCGGGCAGTCACACAGGAAACCACATCTAGCTCCCCTCTCCCTCTCTCCACTGCACAGCAGGGGCTCATGGCTGAGCACCTGTCAAAGTTAGTCAGGGGAGATGAAACACTGTCTCCCACCTGAACCGCAATCCAGGATGCCTCCCACGTGGGCAAAAGACCTAGGGACTGGCACTTACCAGCCCTAGGGCTGTGCCCTTGGACCTCCCCTGAGGAAGCCGGGTTCAAGCTGACAACTGCGCATTCCTTGAGGACCCTTGGCAGGGGTGACTATCAACGGGAAGAGAGGAAGAACGGCACCCTGACCGAGACCAAGCATCCCTCCCTGCATCTCGCCCACCAACTATCCCCGGGACCAGCCTCCTTCTCTGCCTGCGAGGGAGACAGCGGGGACATTATTCCAACAGGTCTCCCTCACCCGGGCCTCACCCGGCTAGCCGTCCTCCGCTCTGCCCTGAGGCCCTTAAATTCAGCCGGAGCGCCAGGGCACTTGCTGCCAGACAAGGCTCCATCCACGCGAGAGGGGGCTCTGGGCGGTGCCCCTCGGCGGTCCCTGGGCTCCTCGGGAAGAGGCGGGGCGCTCCCAAGGCAGGCGCGCCCCCCGCGCACCCTCCCCGCGCTCACCTGGCGCAGGTGCTGCAGCAGCGTCCCCGCCTCCTCCCGCCGGCCCTGGCGCACCATCCGCAGCAGCTCCTGGACCATGCCGACGCGCCGGTGGTAGGGGGGCAGCCCCGCGCCGGCGCCCGCGCGCCCCGCCTTGTCCCCGGCGCGCAGCAGCAGCGACGCCCAGAAGTCGGGCCGTTCGCGGCGGGGGC